TTGAGACCAGTCCCAGCAGCTTAACAAGATCCTGTCCAAAAAAAAAAAAATTGAAAGGCAGCTGGGCATGGTGGCAGACATCTGTTATCCCAGCAGCTCCGGAGGCTGAGGCAGGAGGATCAAAGTCAGCCTCGGCAAAAGCAAGGTGCTAAACAACGCAGTGAGACCCTGTCTCAAAATAAAATATAAAACAGGGCTGGGAATGTGGCTCAGTGGTTGAGAGCCCCTGAGTTCAATCCCTGGTACCCCCTGCTGCAAAGTCAAAAGGCCTGAGGAGACAGCTGAGTGGTAGAGCACCCCTGGTTTTAATTCCCAATGCTACAGAAAAAAGTAATAAATATAAATAATAAACAATGATCAATAAAGCCTTTAATAATTAAGAAAGTGCCATACACACTATTCATAATAGCTAAGACATGAAATTTAGCCTAGGCATCTATCAACATATGAATGGAAAAAGAAAATGTCACACACACACACACACACACACACACACACACACACACCATGGAGTATCATTTGGCCTTAAAGGAGAATGTAATCCTGTCATTTGCAGTACAATGGATGGAACTGGAAGACATACATATATATATATATATATATATTTTTTTTTTTTTAAGTGAAATAAGCCAGACACCCAAAACAAGGCCCGCATGTTTTGTCTCATGTGGAGGCTAAAAAGAGTCTTGCTGGCAAGTAGAATAATGACATGTGACACTGGGAGGGAGTGGACTGGGCTAGACAAAGGGAGGCTGGCTTTTATTAGTGCACGCTGTATGCACGTATAGAAATGTCACACTGAATCCCATTAATATGCATAATTTTTCATATGTATTAATTAAAAATTTTCAAAGAAACTTCTATGTAGAAAATACTGTGAGAGCACAACAACCATACCAAAGAAACCCTCTCCTTCCAACCACACAAAATACCACAGATAAACCTCCACTCTTATTTTGAAGCTGGGGGAGGAAACTTTTCTTGGGAGCGGCTGAATTGCAAAGATCCATGGGATTCATTAGGAACTGATTTTTTACTGCATTTACTTCTCCCCACACCTGTTTAGTCACTGCACTGGTCACTAAATGTCATTGTTCAGGGATGAAAAACACAATGACATCAACAGAGAATTAGAAACAAGTTTTCCATTTCATTTCAGGCAAACTTTGGTAAGAATTTGCATGCTATCTGAAGTACAAGTGTTCCAGTTTGGGATTCCCAAATTCCTACCTTGAAATCCTAACTCCTAGTACTCAGACTGTGACAATATTTGGAGACACCAGGGGTATACACACAGCAGAAAGACGAGGGCATAACAAGGAGGCAGCTTTCTACAAGTCAAGGAGAGAGGCCTCAGAGGAAGCAAATCTGCTGACACCTGATCTAGAATTTTAGCCTTCAGATCTGTGAGAAAATAATTTCCCATTGTTCAGGTTATCTAGTCTGTGTTATTTTGTGTGGCAAATCAGTACAGCTCAACTTACGCTGCATTTTATTAAGCATTTGGGTGTAACAAAGGAGGGCATAGAAATCATAGGAATAAGACACTCCCAAACCAACTCTTGCTGAGAGTTGAAAGACAGTCGATCATTCCTGAGAAACTTATCAGCTACAGAGCCACTTTGGCCTCATCAACAGTGAGCTGATGATCTAAGGGGCTAAATTGGCCTGAACCTAGGATTCAAGTTAGAAGTGGAGCCTCCTGAAGTCCCCTTGGGTTGTGTCCTCAGTTTATCATGTCATCTCTCTGAACCTGGCAGGGGAGGGATATGAGTGCCTGGCAGACCCAGGGCAAGGCAGGCTTGATGGAAAGGGAAGATGTTAAAGGGGAAGGGAAGAGTAGATTGAGGTTGTTTGCTGGTTGTGGCTGCCCACTCTCCCCTCTCACACACCAACCAGCCTGGAGAGAAGCAAAGCTGGGGTGGTGGAATGCTGCAAAAGACAGCTAGAGAAATGGGCTCTCGCCAAGAGGATCCCTAATTGGCAGAGCTACCTGACCCTGCCTGGGTGGCTTGTTTCTGTATTTCAGGCTGAGGGAACAAGGAAGAAGTACTGCATTCTTCTAACCCGAATCTGCAAGGGCTTGGACCTGGACAGATAAGTGGGCTGAGGAGACAATGGGGTACTGATTTATTGGCAGCCCCAAACCTGGAGATTGCAGGTTGTTATAATGCACCGGAAGCCAACAAAGAAAGCCAGGACATGATGTTTAGGCTGTACTCTCCATCAGAATGCCACCCTCTCTGTTAGCTCAAAACTCGTGCTGCCCATGATCTACAATCCTAGATCCCAAACAGTGAACAACAAAGAATAAAATTGAGGAACAACCCCAAGGGCAGAAAGAAGAAGAAGAAGAAGAAAAAAAAGGAGATTCAGGAAGAAATAGTGAGAGACACAGAAAACAGACACACACACACACACACACACACACACACACACACACAGATCAAGCAGAGAGAATTAGTCACAAAGTCAAACCCAGCCACCACACACTAGGGTTCAGACCCCATAAGATCCTCACAGACCCCATATCAGATCTGCCCTCATCTCCATCTCTGATCCTGTTTGAACCCTGTGACAGTGTCAAAATTTAGGGAAGCCTGTGGATGTTTGCAAATGTGATGTGATTTCTAATGGCTACCCCGTGAGTTCACCCAGGCGGAACAATAAGGACATGGGAACCAAGTTAATGTTTGTGTGTTCTATTTCAATAGGAGGTTGTACCTGAGATTCGGTCAGGGCGTGGATGTCTCATTCAGGCAGGAGAATCAAATCAAGAACAGAAATCGGGGAGCAGCCAAACGAGACTGGGGGGGCGGTGTGGGGATGTGCATTCTTCCAGAATGAGTCTTTATTGCAAGAGTGCAGCTTCTTCTCGGGCGCTTGTTAAATACTGTATTTATGCTGTGTGTCTGTATACACTGGGATTAGGGGACCACACTGCATTCCTGATGACGGTTGCTTGAAGGGGTATTTGACGAGGAGATTTACACAGTGTTCTTAATAATCTTTTTTATTTATTTATAGAATGTTATCATTCCAAACGTTCAGTGCTGCCATCCCCGAGGAAAGATGCTTTCTATTTGAGGACCACCAGCTCTGCATGTTGATTTGAAGAGAGATAAAAGAGCATCTGGCCACCATAGTACAGGCGGCACATCCCCTCCCTCTTCATTATGCAGCGGGCTGATGCAGCTTTTGCTTTTTCTCCTATTTACACAAATAAAGACAACGATTTGGGAGATATGTCATGCTGGCATTAAACACCATCCAGCTTGCTGGGTTGAAATGTACACGTTCCATTAACAACAATTATATTGTATAATTAAGGCTTTGGTCCCCAAAGTGTGACTCGCGAGCGTTCTCAAATACTGATGGGCTTATCGAAGACATGTTAAAATTAATATGCCCCTCCCATCATCCCCTCCAACTCCCCAACCCTTGTCTCCCACTCCAAAGCAACACCAGGACTCCTATGAGAGACTTGGTCTCCACTGCATGTAATATTCAAGTGCCCCTTGATGTCATGCCTGCTGAGGATGAGGTTAATAAGAAAACAGAAATGCTTTGAAAGGGGAGAAACCAGCAAGAAGAATTATTTGCATATTCCTGAGTATTTTGGGGGGAGCACCCGTATATGGAGCCCACATTGTAGAACTGGATGCAGGTAGAAGATTTGGAACATGCCCTCCAGAATGAGGCTCTCCATGTAACCTCACTAGTATGCTGACTTCCATTGTTCCTCAGTTCAGATTTAGGTAGAAATTTCCTAGGGTGCATGCAAGCGTGGCTCACCGACAGGTGTAAACAAGATGGAGAAAGGGCTAATGAAGTTCAAACCCTTGCTCCTGGGAGCTTCTCTTGACACCTCCTTCTCTCTCATGCACATCTCTCTCTTCCAGCAGCTGGAGAGAGCTTTGACCTGTGTCTCATCAGTGAATGCTGCTGGTGGTAACAATAATAAATTTCTAAGGGCAATTAACAAAGTGACAGGGTTTATAAATTATAGATTATGACAACACTCCCTGCTATGAGTTTTTTTTTTCTCCTCTTTGATGGCCACCTGGCTATCAGTAATGGTCTCACCAGTCAAATCCTATGTTTCTACCTGAGGCCAAGACTAAAGTAAAAGAAAACATTGAAAAATCAGCTCTCATTTTGGCCAGGAGAAAAACCATTGGTCCAAGTGACTCAGGACTGAAACAAATCAGATGTAGGGGAGGGGGCAGAAGGTTCTATGAAGCACACCTGAGGCAGCTGCACCAGCCTGGTTAGGAGAGTCAGAGAAGAGCCGTTTCCTCTAGTTCTCTTTGGTAGGAATCTGTGAGCCCAGAAATCATACGAAATAGAACAAAGTTAATCTTCATAACTTCATAAGAATGCATATTCTGAAAAAAAATTGGGGCTGGGAAATATTGGGATGGATCATTGTTCCATTGTTCCTGGATAGGTAGTGGGTGGGTGCCTGGAAGCATTACTTTGCTGAAGGGTCAAAAACAAGTAGATTTTCCTTCCAAAACTGTATGATTTGGGAGGTGTGATTCCCAGGTAGGCCTACAAATAACACAAGGTTCTGTGTTTAGTTATTTTTGAGTGTTCCTGGGAGAAAAATGGCTCAGGATAGAAAAGGAAAGTATGTTGAGAAGTTGGGTAGATTTCCTTAAAATCTGAATGCATGAGAATGTTGTGGAGATAAAGATATTAAGAGGGTTTCAGCAGATGTAAACAAACACATAGCAATTCTAAGGTACATAGAGCGTGATGGGTTATATTGGGGTAACTGTGGCAGAAGCTGTGGATTACTTATCTCAAAGCTACCGTCCCTTTCCTAGTAGAAATGAATTTGTTTAGAAATTGGATTTATAGGAGGAAAAAGAAGCTCCCTGTAAATGTTATCTATCATGTGACAACTGCATGAAAGTCTCAAGGAAATGTTCCCCCTGAAATATATAAAGAGAAACACAGGAAGATGCCTTACTTTTTGGATGTCATGCCTGCAGGTACTGTTAGGGATTGCTGGAGTCAACTTGCCAATATAAAGGAGGGCTGTATCTACTCGGCAGAGCAAGACTGGTGGAAAGCGACAAAGCATCCAGCTCTCAGGAACTGGCCAACTCTAGACTTCTTAATACATCAGGTAACACACTTTTCTCATTGTGGAAGCCTCATTTCATTGGGTTTTCTGTTACTTGTAGCTGACAGCATCAGGACTGCAACAATCACTATTTCAGCAGTGCATCACAAGGATGTTTTCTTTGAACAATCAGCAGAACCAGAAAACAGGCACTGATAAAGTGATTTTGTCAAAAAACTGCTAAATCAAGGTCTTTAAAATCCCCATTAGTCCTAACATGCCATGGTCTAATCTCTGGATCTTTCTGACATGCAGGAAATTACAACATTAATACCACCAAAAGTCTACGAAAAATTTGGGCTAAACTCTTGAACCAATTAGGGGCCCTGTGAGTGAAATGTTCTATGTGTGCAATTTATACATTGTTGAAATTTGTATTTGTATTTTTTTGCTTTACAAAGCAGAGAATGAAATAGATTGGGATCTCTGCTTAAGCAAACCAATAACTACAATTGACAAGAGGAACCGTAAGTTGTTTCCAATTGATGATTTTGAATTATCTCATTCTGTTGAAGAATATTCAACCCAATGTTACATTGAGCCAAGCAGTGAGAATATGCCAGGTGCCATAAAAGTGAAGTGGATAATGTGATTTTTGGTTAATAATCATAAATAAGTAGGGTTTTGCTGGAGAGATTTAAGCTATACTTTGTAATGTAGGAATGTATTTTATAATATACTTGGTGGTCAATGTCTTCTTTAATGTACTTTAATATTGACAACTTTGTTAAGGGAGAACATACAATGCAGTCTATGTGTGTATATACAAACAGAGTTGACTTTTCTATTAAAATTTAGGGAAGGCTAATCAGATACATATTTAGTTACAGATATATGTGTCACAAGTAACAAGCAATTATAATTACAGGGGGAACCTTATTCCCAGATTTTCCATTTCCATTTCTATTTCAATTTCAAACATTCTGTTCTACTGGGAGAACACTGTGCATTGATTTTTGGCTTGGGAAATGTGATCTGCCAGAGGATGGAAGTGAGAACAGGGTAGAGTCCATACACAATGTGCATGGATTCTATCCTGTAGCAAATACTGAAGCCATGTGTAGAAAGGAGGAGAGAGTGAGGGCCAGATATAGGGGCACAGGGCTAGAGCTCTTGGTCAGGAACCCAGAGAGACCTGTGTTGAGAGCCATCCATGGGCTGTGTGGGGATAGTGGCATACTTCAGCCTAATCAATAGGAGAATCTGGTGTCTTGGGACTTCCAGTGGACATTTCCTCTGGTTGATTGCCCAGACACATTGTGAGCCCTGTTCAAGCTCTGCCAAAGGTCCCACCCAGCACTGCAGATGGGGTGACCTGATACAACCACCCAGCCGCACAGCCTCTCTAAGATGAGTGTGACTTGCCAAGATGCCAATCAACCTGCTGACCATAAGACATCAGGAGGCAAGATTCCACCCTTGAAACCTTACCCCTGCCTTTGATGTCCCTGCTTGAATAAATCAGGGGAGCCATTTTCTAATTGTCTAGCTCCACCTCCTGGGTGGGCTGGATCTATCAGGGGCTCCAACATTTTGAAACTATCTTTCTGACTTTGTCTTTTGTTCTTCACTAATTATTCTAGATTTTAATTTCTCAGGAGGCTTATCCCTCTGAGCAGGCAATTCACTGGTGAGCTGTTGGTCACCCCACAATAGACGTACCCTTGGGCTTCTCCACAACACAACAAGGCCATTTGCTCTCAAGGGGTGCTGTCAATGTGTAGAAGTTGACCCTGCCACTCACCCCCCCCAAAGTAGAAAGTGATATAGCTGAAGCAGTTAACTTGAAGTATAGCTCCAAGAATTGTGTTGGAATAGGTTCCCACCTCCTTTTTGGAAGGGGAGGTTGGAAAGAGGTGAGACATTTCATATGGAGAAAGTGACAGTTCATGTTAAGGAGGGACACCCAGAGAAAGAATGGGTTTTAGAAGACCTAGGTTTGAATGCAGGTCTGGTACTCATTGTGTGTTATGACTTATAGATATGAGATGTCTTCTCAAAACTCATGTGTGAGACAATGCAAGAAAGTTTAGAAGTGAAATGATGATTGGGTTTTGAGAGCCTTAACCTAATTAGTGCATTAATCCCCTGCTCTGGATTAACTGGATGGTAACTGCAGGCAGGGTGTGGCTGGAGGTGATGGATCACTGTGAGTGTGCCTTTGGGGTTTGTATTTTGTCCTTTGTCTCTTTCTGCTTCCTTTTGTGAGATGCTTTCCTCCACCACATTCTTCCGCCATAATATTCTGCCTCATATAGGGACCCAGATTAATGGAGCTGACTGTCTACGGACTGAGACCTTTGAAACTGTGAGCCCCAAATAAACTTTTCATCCTCTAAAATTGTTGTTTGGTTACAGTAGTGGGGAAAAAAAGACTAAAACATTGTGTGACCTTGAGATTTAACACTATTGAAATCTTCCTGATGCCCTTATAGAATTGTGGTTATCAGAGTTGGAGTGGTAGCTCATGTGGAGAACCCAACACAGTGTTTTGTAGTCAGTATCCAGTAACTACCGGAAGAGAAATCAAGGCAATGGTTCAAGGAACATGCTCCCTGGTAATCTCAAAGTGGTTTGAAAACTGTGCCTTAAAGGAGACCTAAAGAATGAGGAAAAGCTTAGTTCTGATAAATGCAATCTGAAAACTACTGGATAATAGAATGAATGACAGGAGCACACAGCAAATCCAAGAATCTAACTGCCATGCTGACAGGTGAAGCTTTTACTTCTCTGTGTGCTCTGAATTAGGAATTTTCATTGATTAAGTTCTTAATAACATGGCTTTTTGAAGCCACATTTAGGATTTAGTAACAGCATTATTAAAGAGTTAGTATCCTTTTCCCTTTGCCATCTTGGGGTGGGCCATGAATCTTACATTGAAAATCTCTCAAATAAAAAGCCTTTTAGATGAGAAATTGGAGACCATTCCAGGCAAGTCTATCAAGTTTGTTACAAGCAGCAATGTAGAAACCAAGCAGTGCCTCTACCCTTTCTGCAATTTTCTCTTTGTGGAAGCTTTGTGGAATTTTGTTTTTCTGTATGATTATTTCCTTGCCACTGACAAAGTTCATGCATTTAAAAAGTTTCTCTCTCTCCCTCCTTTTTTTTCTGTGACATCACTAAAGTTATTTTGGGGGTTCTTTTTCTCTCATGGAACCCTAAAGAATGGAGAATTGAAAGGTACAGTGTTAGCACTCAAATAATACTGTAGCAGTGAAGACAAACCTCTTGTTCCAATAGCTGACAAGATCAATCCATTACTCATGACTGAAGGTGAAACTGACTCCAAGGCATCAATGAGACTCAGTCTGGGCCAAAGGAGATAGACAGATAGAATTCCATCCACCCATAAGAGGCTGATGGTTGAACCCATAAGGACCTGTGTTTGAATGCAGAAATGGGAACACTCCAGCTATCCCTGAGATGCCTATCTTAGAGGAAAAGCAAGTGCGGCTCATCAGAATTTGGCCACTAACCCAGTCTTGGGACTCACAGAGCTGTCTATTTGGAAGTTATGCCTACTACCACCTGATCTTACTCATTGCTTAAATGACATCTAACTTCTGAATTTGGACCACTTATTTTCAAATTTCCAAGGGGCAGTAAATAGTAATGGGGAAAAAAGTCTTCAAGAATAAATTTTATATAGATAAACAATGAGTATAAGGTCACAGAAGTCAATGAACACAATTATATTTTGCAATAACCCCCACCCCAACTGCTAATTGTACTTTTTGCTGCTCAACAAACTGAACAAAACAATTGGTCAACTTGTCCTACTGTAACTTTCAGTGATACCTTCCACAGCTTGGTTGTTGGTTGTAGGTTTCAGGTGCTCCATGGCAAAGACATGCCACCCAGAGGTGCCAGAGTCACTTCTCCTGGAGTCACTCCTGTCCTTAAGGTTCTTGGCATGTTTAATCTGGGTTAAGAACCATCAGGGTCTTTCATTTGATGGTAGGAGCTGGTGGGGGTGCACGTAGGCTCAGGCACAACTAGCCAAACAGAGGGAGAAATAGGCCAAGAATCTTTTGTCGACCAGACTCTTGCCTGTTGCCTGAGCTATTGTCAATTCTGGTTGTCTATGAAGGCAGCTACTCCGTTAGTAATAAATGCTGGAAACCTATTAATGACATTAATTCTAATGTCATTTTAAAGACTGTTGATCCATTTCCTGTCTTCAGACTCTCACTGAAATATCTGCTTTTCTTGGGTCTTGAGCCTTTCAGCTTTTAGAGTGTGGCCAACAACATTAGCTCTTTTGGATCTCTACAACACAGGTGTTGGGATTTATCAGTCTTTATATTTGCATGAGCCAATTCCTTGTAATAAATTTCTGTGAATACAGGTGAAAAAAAATAATTTTGATCCATTAGAAAGGAATGATTATGATACTTTTAATTGTTTGTTTCTATATGTGTTATAATAATTATTCCAGTGTGTCCAGCAATTCTTGATTACTGCTTGATGTGTCTGAAGAAAATATTAGTGTTGTAAGGATTTAGAGCAAACTTCTCATTTTATTCTTTTATAAGGAAGTTAAGGTTCAGTGACTATCTGAGGTCACTATTAATTTATTCTTTTGGTAAATATTTATGGGACCTCACCCATGTTCTAAACATTGTGCTAGGGGTTACAGATACAAGGAGAAGGAGAATGGATGAGGCCCAATCTGCTATCAAGGTTCTCACACTGTGGGAGGGAGCGAGATGCAGCATCAAATAATGACAATTGACTGTGGAATGTTAACAGCAGAGACAGGTACAAGGTAGGACAAGGTTTGCTTGGAGGACGGCTTGTGATTTCTGGGAGGAGAGAGTGGACAACACTTTAGTGCTATTCAGTCTTTATAATTTAAAGAGCTTCATCAATGCTTGGTGATTTATGCTCTTCTCAAATGCTGCTACTTTCAAGCAATTATTAATCATCATTAATCTGCTTGCCAAAGTTCAAAAATAATTTTATATCAATACATGCTTTTTAGTTCCCAATGTATTCACACACAATTTCTCATCAAAATCCAGTAACCATACGAGGTAGACAGAAGAGGCTTGATTACCATTATCCCCATTTTTCCGATCAGAAAAGCTAAAGATAGGTCCTAAGTCATAGAGTTAATTCATTGGCAGATTGAAAGATGTGAGTCTAGACCTTTCTGACTGTGTGGAACATGAGTGTTCTTCTATATTATAATACATGCTATATTTTCAGCATGAGAAGCCTCTTGGTCTCATTTTAGAGCTGGTGGGGGGAGGTGTCTTAGCAAAAGTGTCAGGTTACCTCATTTCACACCTGGGCTTAATATATGGACTGGGTTGGAGACTCTGAATCTTTGAAAATTCAAAAATTGACAATCCTGCTGCCACTGTCTACAGTATTTAGATAGCTTCTCCGTTGCCTGTGGACATCTTGAGCTTACTTATGAAGGAGACAAGTGATACATTCACTCAAGTACTCACTCACTCATTAACTCCATAAAAACATTGAGACAAGTAGATGTCATGGCTACCAGAAAAAAACGGTGTTGATCCTTTTGAGAAAATTAAACTTGACTTGGAAATCTCAGACTTACCTCATACAGCCAAGGTTAATGAACTATGTATTAAAATAAAACTCCCAAATCTTAGAATGTTCGATTGAGTATTTAGCTGTTATGTAGCTAGAGAGCGAAGCTTAAATGACAATTTTTATCAATAATTTTTAAAGTAACCTTTCTCAACACTGTCACCTAAGATTTTGCTGAATAAATGCTTCAGGCTTTGCTTCAAAAGATGTTTTGGCTACTTGTATATCCCTAGTATATCAGTCTTTCCCAAAATCAACTTTAGAGGTTTCAAACCATGGTGGGGGTCTTAGTAAAAGTGTCAGTTCACCTCTAGTAATTCTGGTAATATTTTTCTTCTTTATGAATTCATTCATATGAAAAGCTTATAATTTATAAAATCAGTTCTTAATAGAATATTTATGAATATATTTAACACTGCATTTATCAAGGAGTATTTAATAAAATGAATGAAGATAAGAAGAATTGGAACCATTTTTAAAATGAGCAAGAGAAATTCTTGCAAAAAATAGGTTTTCTCTAACTAGCCAACTCCTTTGATACATTTACAATGTGATTCATTTGCCAAAAATACTAAAGTATGGAAATGTTCCAGGAACATATACTATATGTCAAATAAACTATTATGTGTTATAGTGATGAGGAATTTATGTTAAAGAATGGCCTGATGAAGAGGATTTATATTCTCATGTAAGGAGGCCTATACTTTGATATTTTGTTTATCCCAAGATCATCAGCTTCCAGGAAAAAAAAAAAGTATTGTGGATTAAAAATGACTACAAATTCCTTGCCTTCAATTCCATGGAAAAGTGGAGGCTATTTCTTCTCCTGTTACATCTAAGATGGCCTTATGGTTGGTTTTGACCACTAGAATGAAACAGAAGTCACTCTATAATGACTGAAAGTCTGAAACTGGGGCCTCAAGAGATCTGTAGCTTCTACTTTCACCATTTGGCACATGTCATCTTGGAAGCCAGCATCCACGTATGAAGTATTATTGCCCTGAGACTAGCATGCTGTGAAGAATCCCAGGTCAACCAAGTATGTGTGGGGGGGTGGTGGGTGGGGGGTGGTAGAGGTGGAAGAGAGAAAGAGATCAGTCACCAAGGAATACAAGGTACTAGGCAGGCCCATGAGATGAGGCCTTCTTAGAACTCCTATTCCAGTTGACCATGAGCTCAATACCACCGAGTAACTATCCCAGTCAGTGCCACATGGGACAGGACTATTCAATCTATCCCCATCTGAACTCTTGACTCAAAATTGTGAATGAGTGAAATAATTATTTTTTAAACTCCTGCATTTCAGGGTAGTTTATTATGGAGCAATAGGTAATCAAAACAATTAGCTTGTACCACCCACTGTCTTCAGACCAAGTTTACTGATAAAGAGAATCAGGGCAGAGAAAATGTTCACAGGTCTCTCTCTCTTTCAGGCTTCTTTTCATTTGATCTGGATCTGATCTTCTTTGTCCAGTCTGAAGAATTCATTGTCCTCCACCTGTTTCCTCTTGAACACAGTTTTTCCATTGTTAGAAGATGATTTTGTCAGTTCTTATGTTTACTCAAGTTTTACATCAAATTACAGCTGGCTTGCATCAGGCAGTGGGCCACCAGAAGACCCTCAAGAGGGCCATTTGATAGAAGTGTTCTGAGCCCCTGTGACACAAAGCACTGTGCCAAGCACTGGGAATGTGAGAGCCTACATGCAAATATGACATGGTTTCTGCCCTGGAAAAGCTTATAATTTATTAGGGGGAGTAAAGTCATATTTAAATAATAACTAAATAATTCAATCTAAGTATATTGTGATGGTCTGGGACACAGGAGTGATTGATTCTGGCTTGGTGGAAGATTTTATAGGGAGAGTGACTTTAGGTCTTGGTGTGGGAGGAGTGGATAGGAGCTTAGCAGGAAGGCAGGCTTATCAAAGTCATTCTAATCAAAAGGATTAGTGTCTTGGCTTACTCTGTGCTCTATAACAGATAACCTGACACTGGGTAATTTTAAAGAACAGGAATTTATTTCTTACGGTCTTAGAGGTTGGGAAGTTCCATTGCTAAGATAACTACATTAATCTATTCTTGAGGTCAGAGCCCTCGTGACTTAATCACCTCTTCAAGATCCCACTTATCAACATTGTGGCATTGGAAATGAAGTTTCCAACACATTAACCTAAGGGGACACATTCAGACCCTAGGAAGCGGAATGAATGGAAGTCTCTGATGAGCTTGGCGGTCTGCAAGGTGTGAAGCTTGGGCACATGAGAAGAATTTGGGCAGATGAGAATGGAAAGAACTTGGCCTATGCAGGTCTTTGGATGCTTACTTCTTAGCAAAAGAGTTAGAGAGTTATTCTTTTCAAGTTGGTGAGCCATGGATGGTTGAGGGAAAGGCCACATCTATGTTCATACACCATTGCTTGTGGATCTTCTTTCTCCTCCCATCATGTGTACTGGGGTCCTTTACTCATAATTCGTATAATGTTGAAGTTCATACAGTTTTTTTCATATAATGTTGTGTGAAAGGAAAAAATAGGTGGACAATTTAACATCAAATTCTTCTCAGACCTTAGAGAAAAGTAACTTTGGACAGACTCTTTTCCTGATCCCAGAAAAGAGAATAGGGACAAAGCATTCAGAAGAAAAGATTTTCTTGTAGGAGAAAAACCTGTAGTTTCTCTGAACCTGTGTCATGGATGTCAGGGACAATGACATTTGATAACAAATTCAGCATTGCTTCTTGACAAGTCTCCCTTTGAGTGTGAGTTTACCTGGATGGGATCCTCTGAGGTTGTAGTAAGATATTTTTGTTGAAAATTTTGAAGTATGAACATTGAGAAGGAGATTGTTTCCTTTGGCTGTTTTTTTGGGGGCGAGAGGTGCTTAGAATGAGAAAACAAGGTTAATGCTTGGTGCTCTGTCTTCTCAAGCTCTTCACCTCAGGTATCCATTCACACATTTACGGAGGGCCTACTGTGTGCCAAGAATGAGGGGTGCACTCCTGGCCATTGAAGAGTAAATAATGCAAGAGAGGAGAAAGACTGGGGAGCATCCAGGGAAGGATCGAGAGTGTGGCCTTTTCAACAGGTAAGGCTAATTATCCTTTTGTGATATTTATTTTGAGTCTTCATATCAAGTTTGGTTTAGCTTTGTGAAAGTGACTTGTGAAGGTTTTTCTAAAAACTATTTTTATGCCATGAAATATTTTGTATAAACATAGGAATTACCTCTTTCTTGACTATGTGAGCACAGCTGGTGGGAATACTTGAGGATCTGGTCGTCTTCTTGGAAATGATTTATTGACAACCTCCCTTTTCTCTCTTATTCCTTTCATGGTTATTGGCTTAGTTAGATTTTTCTACTTCGACTCCAGGGAATTTTGATAATTCATATTTTCTTGAAAATCAGCCATTTCATGAAGTTGTCATAATATTCTGTTATAATTGATCTTGTCTGTATCTGTTACAGCCTGTCTCACTCTATTTAATCTGCTTTAAGATCTTTTTTCTTCAATGGATTAGTGACATGATTTTTAATTTTATTTACTTTGACCCCCTTTTGAATTTTTGGACTTATTCTTATTTAATTTTTGTTTTCATAATATATACATTTCCTTTCTGCTCTTCAGCATTTTATCCTTGTTGAAAATGTCTAGTCTTTGGCATTCCTTCTTGTTTGTTAAGGAAAACACGTCAGTGGCTTCACACAACACTTCTTTATGTCTAATATAGGTGTTTCTGATCTGTAGTGACTTTCTTCCAAGATTGAGGGACTTTTGATCTCTATTTTATACTTCTGTCATTCCCTGAGGACTTGATGTTGTTTGCACCCTCCTGATGGATGGGGATGAGAGTGAAATAATCACTGCTTTCTTTAAATCCTGGGCCTGGAAGCAGCACAGGCTTTTCTCACTTTCTATTGGCTGGATTCAGTCACATGATTATACCTCCCTGCAAAGGAGGTTGGATAATGTAGTGTAGAAGTGTGCCCTGCAAGAAACAGAAATGAAGGTTGAATAAACATCAGTTTCTCCCACATTCTCAAATAACCGTTTTTATCTTATTGCCTATTTTTTTCTGATATTGTCATATCTGTATGAGTTTTTTTGGAAAGTTTGTCCATAATCTCATTTTCTGTCCTTCTATTTTAACTTTTTCATTACCTACAATTTCATATGTGTGTCTTCTAAAAAAATGTATATAATTTATATTATATATATGTTTAAATATATCTCTGCATAAAAATAAATTCTATATATTTATATTATATTTATAATATATAATTTAAATATATATATTAAAATTTCCCAAACTGGTCACATTAATGTTTTAATTGGCAAGTTTTGCCCCTATGAATTTATTGTGGACATTTAAATACTTGGACTTTTTATCTAACATCTTATTTTTGTCTTTCTACTTTTATTGTGCTTTTCCTACTTCTTGGACTTTTAATAATTGATTTAAAAGTTTTCCTACCCACTGCAGTGACTTGTATACCTATTAGTTTTATTCTGCTAATTATAACTCTTGAAATTTAACTATACCTATATAGCTTAAGATGTCTAAATGTCTTAAATGTTGAGAAACTTTTCTCAGAAAAACATTAGGACCTTAGAATACTTTAATTCCAGTCATCTCTCCTTTTGGAATACTGTTGATCAATAGCAGTGAAAACCTTTGTTAAGTGTGACACTCCAAGGCTGCCTTGCCACTTATTCCCACAACTGGAAGGTTTTGTAGGTTCAAAATGTACTGTCTCTTCTTCCTTTGATGCCACACTGCTTTTGGAGGAAGGGGTGTCGTAGGTCAGTTTCCAGCACATTCTTTCATCTGTGCCCTGCTGTATCTTGCAGAAAATTCTGTGAATGGCTTCTTTTCCACATTCAGATCCTGATGCAGGTTTTCTCTTATGTTCATATCCCTTTTATTATGATACTCACATGGAAACATTAGGGAAGAGCCCAGGTCCATTCTACATGCTCTATCCCAGTAGACCCATGACATAGAGCAGCATACTTCAATAATGGATCACATAAATAATATTCCTTTTTAAAATCTTGGTAAAACTGAGTAAGCTCACCAAAATATTTTTTTTCAAATCTTTCAAAATCACTATGAAATAAAAAAAATGGACCAAAGAGTTGAGTTGTTATACTCTTCCATTTTAGTACATAGTGCAGGGTTAGATAAAGAATATGTGACAATGGAATGTATTCAATGGCATTCTGTCATAAGGACACTATATTGCTTCACATATCTGAAACCTGTTAGAAAGTGTCTGCATTTCATGACATCAAAAGCTACAGTCTTTGAAACAGTTAGTGCTTAATGTTCATAGCATAACAATGCAACATAGTTCAGAGGGCATTGTGGCAACTCAGTCTGAACAAGAATAGGGGATTTTGGAAAACCAGGCTTTAGGGAGACTTGATATTTTAAGGTTTAATTTTAATAGAATGTTAAAGTTCAAACTCTTTCACTTTAAACCAATAAAACTTGAAATTAGTGATGGGGTCACTATGGTTTTATGGAGAAGCTAATCTATTAAAAAACTTGGCACTGAGTGCAAAGACTCTACCATTTTTTGACCAAAGCATAGAAGGCTCCAAAAGAGACAGAACATGGAGGGGCTTGGATATATCCTCTTCCTCTTCTTGATAGGTGGTGATCAGAGAACTGTGTTAATAACCCCTTTAAACACCATCTCCAAGTCTCATGGTGTGAGAATTGAGCATTCTACGTACATGAATTTATAGCACCTATCTTCTTAGCCATACTTGACCTCTGTGAACAGGAGGTGGGAGTCAGTTTCTCTTACATTTGACCAATCAAATCTTTATCATCCCTAAGACCGTGCGGTGCTTAGTTCCCACTAAGCATGTGTGTTTGGACTATAATGTTAAACATCAGGATATTTCACCTGAATATTTTTAAATGATGTAGGATTCACAAGGAACCACAAATTTAAAATGCATCGATGTGTGATAGGCTACAGGGTATAATCCATCATGATCTTTATGTCCAGCTGGATTCCATGAGCCCAAATTCACCAGTTTTCCATCTACCATAACATTGGCAGAATCCCTATCAAAGACAGAAGGCATATATTCCTCAAGAAGTACACAAATGTGCAACTGAACAGGAGGCATGTTTTATCGACAGTTCTGTTTTCTACCACCACTCATGGAATGGCCTGTGTTTGGGCCATGTGCTGGGTGGTCATGTCCATGCCTGGGCATGCATGGCATAAGAAGCTGACTCAAGGTGCTGGGGTACTGTCCAGGCCACCTTAACACTAAGCACAACCCAAGGCAGAAAGAAAAATCCCATCTTAATGCGGATTCCTAAAGGCCAAGACAACTTTCTAGTCTAAAAGAAACTTAATAATGATATAATTTGCAAGGAATAGAAATGCTGGAGGATCATTTGGTCTACTGTGATTTGTCCAGTGTGATGCAAATTATATGAAGATTTGCATCTAAAGTAGTTTTCATGAAATGGGCTGTGGGCATCTGTGCACTTTGGCAAGTGCTTGTAGCTCTGGGTTAAACAGCAATTTGAGTTTAAGGCTCATTGGAATCCCTTTCTTAAAAGGATTCAGAACAAGTTAATAGAAGGACCTCGAATTTTGATGCCAGGACCAGGATTGAAATCCTACTCTCTTTCTTCAATAAATCTGTGACTATGGGCAAGTACGTTTTAATCTTTCTGAGCCATAGATTCACCGTCTAAAATAAAGATAATAACACCTACTCCACCAGGATTTTTGCAAAGATATAAATTGATGATATTAAATGAAAAAAGAAAGAAGGCAAGGTACCTTGAAACTGTAAAGTAATGTGAAAATGAAAGTCATTCAAGCGACAAACATTTATTGTGAAACTATTGTACATGTCGACTCCATTAAGGGTTACAGCAGTTTACCAGATGTATCTTTCTGTGTTTCATATCATTTCAATCTACCAGTTGTTGCGTTTCTGTAGGACAACTTTTCTTTGAAATAATTCTATCCTATATAGTGATATTTCCTTATCTGTTTGGTGGGATTTTCAAAATAAAGGCAAGGATTTTAAAACATCATTATTTTTAGAGGGTGCATGCTTCTGTGAGAAATAATGAGAGAAAAGTGTTTGCAGAGCCTACTTGGTTAAGTGCAATTAAGCTAGCCTGTAATTTTTGTATTAAACTCCTGGTAGTTGGGAAGCAAATATTTGGAGCTACTCATTAAATAAATTACCCAGATTACGGAATTTTCCATGATTATAAACACAGGGAGGAAAGGACATTTGTAAAACCTGTGGTTTTTTTTTATTGATTTTTAAAAAAAATAAGTAACAGCGGAATGCATTACAATTCTTATTACACGTATACAGCACAATTTTTCATATCTCCTAGTTTATATAAAGTATGTTGACACCAATTCATGTCTTCATACATGTACTTTGGATAATAATGTCCATCACATTCCACCATCCTTGCTAATCCCTTGCCCCCTCCCTTTCCCTCCCACTCTTCTGTCCTATCTAGAATTCATCTAATCCTCCCCCATTATGAGTCAGCCTCCTTATATCAGAGAAAACATTCGACATTTGTTTTTTTGGGATTGGCTACTGTGATTTTTTTTTTTTAATAAAGATTAACACAAGGTTGCTGAACAGGTAGCCCTAGTCCTGAACTGCAAGGTCCACAGAAATTGTTAGCCAATCCCCTTTAATCCCAGGAGAAATTACTGCAGGGCTTAGAATCAGGATGTTCACCCACTGGCCAGCATGTAAATTCCTTGAGGCTCAGATTTCTCTAAAGAGGAATCTGAATGCTAATCCTGGCAGGGGTGTTGCGGGGGTCTGATTCATGTCGCAAATTATAGGCAAAGATGATTCAAATAGGTTCTGCTAGTTCATCTCAAATATCAATGTGTACAGATCCTCTGGGGTTTTGTTAAAATGCATATTCTAGTTTAGGAGGATCCAAAGTATTGTCCCAATTCTGTATTCCTGGGAAGCCCTCAAGTGATAGTGATGCTGCTGGCCATTTTTTCCTGTGTTCTGTAATGTTGGCTTCATCTAATTTAGGCTAGCTCTCCTCAAG